TAATCCCTGAATGACCGTGCGACTAAGTCACCCAGTTGCCCGACTACTATCGTCCACTATCGCCAAAGTGTTACGGTACATCGGGGTCGAATATCCTAACCCCAGATGATGCCCTCGCCTAGCACTACCGCACACGGCGACTAAACGATAGATCCATAAAACATATCCGATAAATCGTGCAATGTGTGCAGCATGTCAATAAGTGAATTTAATGAAAAGGGCTGGTGAGACGGCCCACCTATCCTCCTTTTTATAAATTCACCAACACGATCAAATACGTATATCAAATATCGTAAAACGAAGTTTCACACATGCATATACACACACATATATACATATATAGATGCACTGACCAAATGATTCCACATAATATTATATCAATATCAGAATCAGAATCACATGCAACATAAATACCTAATTTCTTAAAATTAGATTTAATTCCCTACTGCTTACCTCCTACCGATACTTTCTGGATTTTATAACTTCACCCAAATCTCCTCCAACGTACACCTGTCCCATTATTTACTCAAATCAGATGAGCTTTATGCTTATTCTCAGGAGCTACCTGCTTATTCAAAAGCTAATTTCTATAATTAACTCGTCGGGCTCCAAACTTTTATATTTAGTAGAATATGATATTCTAGCTATAAAATCCTTCTACCTCATAATATTTATATTGCCCGATTATTAAATAAAAATACGCAAAGGTATGAACAAGCAGGCAGGTGCGATATACTGCCGTTTTTTTTTATTCGACTTGGATTGGTACGAAATTCTCAAAATATAATGTCGGCGCTACGAATAGGCTATTAGCTAAAGAAATTCATCGATTAAATAGCTAAATAGCCAATTTTGAATTTTTGAAGAATTTCTAATTTAATACTCCAATATCAAAATTCGTATTAAAATTTATAATCGGACTCTACGAATAGCAAGGAATACCATACCCAAGTCGAAATTGGAATCGGACGGCTAAATCTTTTTCTTTCTTTTTTTTTTTTTCTTTCTTTCTCCTTCTTCTTCCTCCCTTCCTTCTCCTCCTTTGGTTCGTTGCTGCTGCTGCGTTGGATTCTTTCTTTCTTTTCATATTATATATATATATTATATTATTATTATTATTAAACGTAATATATTATTATTATTATTAAACATTATATATTATTATTATATTATTATTGTTATTAACGATGATAATAAGGTTCTTATCATCATCTACTATATTATTATTATATATATATATTATATTATATATTATATATTATATTTATATTTATATTTATTTTTAATTTTATCGATATTTATCATTTAACAGTCTATTTAATTATAACTAATATACAAAATTAGAATATAATTTATCCCAAAATATTAGTTTCTTGATTCCATTACTATTGTCAAATATTTATTTGCTATAATAATATTATTTTATACATTCCGAAATCGGGGCATTACATTTTTGCCTTTTTTTTTAGGTGAAATTGGTCTTATGCATTTTTGCCTTTTTTTACTTACATGGTCAGTAACTAATTAATTTAAACCATAATATTTTTTTATTACATATAGTTGGTTTACATGGAATATATTATGACTTTACTGATGCTTGTAGATGTTTCATTACTTACATTTGTGTTTGTTTGGGGGTTTGAATTTTGAGTTGGAATTTGAATAGTAAAAATTTTAAATTTTAATAGTTGTATGACGCGATATAAATAGGTGTTGATTTGATATTTTAAATATAAAATTAATTTTTAGTATAATATAAAAAATAAAAAATAGGTGTTTAATTTGATATTTTTTTGGGGGAATAGAATGAACAGTGGATTTAAAATCCAATCCCCAAACAAACGCACCTTAAAGAAAATTGGTAATAATCATATAACATATCTTTTTTTTTTGGAATTTACTAAAAAGATCCTTTCGTTGTCATCCGCATGTTTTAAATTTTTTGGAATAGAAGATGTCTGTCTTCTTATTTTACTTAAGGTGCGTTTCGCAATTAGCAGATAGTTTTTACCTGTTAGCTGATTCAATTAGTTGGTTTGACTATCTGATTCAATTAGCGGTTTGTATTAAAGTGTTTGGTAAAATAATTGTTTGACATTAGCTGTTTATAAATAAAATGATTATTAAGGACATTGATATGCTATTTTTTAAAATATTTAATTTTGTTCATTTTGGTTTGAAATTTATGAAAATTTTTGTTATTAATTATTAAAAATTATAAACATATTATAAAATATTTATTTTTATTTTTATTATTTAGATTTGAGAAAATTATTTTTACTAAAAAATAATAATTTTTTATTGAAATTATGTAAAATATAAAATAATAAATCTTTCGTATATATATCTTTATTATGTTAAATTATTGTTTTAATATATATAAATAAATTATTAACCTTTATTTTTTTTATTTGATTTAGTTTTAAAAATTTATATATTTTACAAATAAAATAATTTATGTGTAATAATTAATAATAGTAATTATTTTAAATTTACAAAAATAAAAATATAAATTTAATATTAAATATATTAAAAATAATTAATAAATACAACTATACAAATATATTTATATGTATAAAAAAATAATTAAGTTTTAAAGGTAAATAAGGAATAACCAAAATTAAAATGAAAAACTATTTCAAAACGCTGGGTGAATGAGCTTTTCAAAAAATTAGCTTTTTGGATCCAAAAAACTCTTTCAAAAAACTAATTTAGTTTTTTGACTGATCAAACAGCTAAAAGCTGTTAATAAGCTAAAAACTACACTCTTAAGCTCCTCTTAAGCTGAAATCATTTTATGAAAATAGGCGTCTATGGTTTAGGCTTAACTTTCTTACTTTCAATCTCACTTCCAGCCATTAGCATTCCTGATCTCTCCAAGTACAGTAAGTGACCTAAAATTTGCATCACATTTTGAGTTAAATGTTAAGGTTGTTTTACTTTGATTTTGTTGCAATCATATCGAACTTGTTTACTTGTTTTACATGTGTATGTATATGTTTTATACGAAATTATTTTTATTGTACACACCGGGGCGGCATCGCGCGCGCCGGGTTCTAGTATATATATATATATATATATATATATACAATCTAACTAAGGGCAAATATAGCTCTATTTCTTTGGCCCTGAGTTTGGTAAAACTCACTGTGTTGTTAGCGTGGAAGTCTAATTAAGCATCAAACCATCTTTATAAGACAAAATCTAAAGGCTGCATAAACATGTTTTGACTTTTTCAAAACAAATAAATAAACTCCGATCTGCACACCCGTGCGCAGTAAAACTAATTAACAATTTAATGCAGTGATAAACTATAATTTAAACAAATATATATAATATGTGTGTAATTTTGTAAGGAATAAAAATATAAATAAATAAAAATATTTATTTGTAATTAATATAAATTAATATTTAAACCACACTATTATTAATTAATTATATAAAAAATATATAATTCTCTCTATATATAATAATTAACACCTAGGTTTTCTGTTGATAGAATTTCTTGATAGTAATCAAAATATCAAGTGTGATCTTCTTAAGAATGCAGTTTTGGATTTTCTTTTAGAATCTTTTTAAATTTTATCATTCGGATTCTTTATTTTTAAAAAATATATATATTTTTTTTACAAAATATTTTGTCAAATAGTATAATTTAATTATTAAATTTTAAAAAAAAATTTAAACCAAACTCAGAAATACATTCTTAGTTATTTTTCTTCTTCTTTTTTGAATTTTTTCAAAAAAAAAATTAGTATTTTGGGTGTGTTTGTTTTGATGAGTTTGAGAAATTTTTATTTTGAATTTGATATTAAAATAATATTTGGTGAAAAATTTATAATTTTTTTTTTTTTCTTTTTGAAAAACGTACAATTTAAATAATAGAAATCTAGGATCTTGTAACTAAAGAAAGAAACACACCATGAGTTTTACATTTTTCTTAAAATAATTTTTATCTCATAAAACATTACACGTGATCATATGTTTCTTAATGCATTATGTGCAACGCTGTAGTGTTGTGTGTTGTGCTGCGTTGTATTTTTATATTGAATTTAAATAATTGTACAATGTGATATATTGATATGATATTTTAAATTTAAAATTAATTTTTAATATAATATATAAAGTTAAAAATAGATATTTAACTTAATACTTTTTAAATTTTATTTTTTTCGATGACTTAGTAAAAATTTTGTAAACGTAACTACTCATTTTATTTTGAGTGTAAGATTTCCTCAATTTATGTACACACTTTCATATTGTCCGTCCAACCAACATTATACTGTCCGAGAATGGATTGTATTGCTGAACTGCACTGAATAACTTATGATATAATATCTTAATTTTTACCATTAAATTTTATAATTAAAATTAATTATTCCCTCTGTCGCATAATGTTTATTTATTTATTTGCGTCAGTATATTTAACACTAAAAATATTTTTATATTTGTATATTTTTTTCTACAAATATCATTATATTAGTATTACAAGACTATAATATAAGTATTTTTGTCATTTTAATTTGATTATACTATGTTTTTTTTGATAAGTTTGGAAAAATTTTGGTTTAAGTTTGATATTAAAATAATGTATAATGTGATGTTTTATGAGAGGAAAAAATATACTACATTTGTCCGGCTTTAAGGATCTTACTTACTTTTTGCGTGTTCATCTTTAAATATTAATTATTATATAAAAACATAGTACAAATTAACGAAAAATAACAAAAATATTTCTATTAGTATCTTATAATATTATTATAATGATACTTGTGTAAAAATTTATACAAATATAAAAATATTTTTAATGTTGAATAGAATGACGCAAAAGATAAATAAATTTTTTAAAACCGAACGAAACGAGTATTTTTTTGAAAAAATGCAGTGTTAAAATAGTAAAAAATGTTTGATGACTAAAGAAACAACCCCTAAGTATCCAATTCACAACACAAAACAACACATGTAGACGAAGAACTAACAAACCAACCTTCTCAACAATGTAGATAAAATGAAATCAACTCCAACGAAAACTCACCAAATTTACATATACATACATACATATATATATATATAAATTTCAAATAAAAATCAAGCTCAAACCGATCCCCTGACGAACTGCGACTGCCATTCGACGCAGTCGTCGTAGTCGAAGCTACTCGCGCAGTCGACCAGCGCGCTCTGCTGCTGCTCGTATCGACAAATATAATTCAAACCCAGCAGCACCTCGCAAACGACCGCCTCTGTTTTCTCCCGATCCGCAAAATAAATCGTCTGCAGCAACAGAACGTTGGTCCTTGTCACAATCTGGTGCTGCTCGAAGTTGCGCTCGCTCTGCCACCGGATCATGTTGTGCGCCAGCGGGGCGAGCCACGTCAGCGTCGCGCCGAGTCGCTCCCGCCATGCATGCGCCAGCGGGGCGTCGTAAATCGCCATCGCTAAGTCTTTTACGTACGACTTTAAATTGATTTCCAATCGCCGACGTAGGCTCGTCGGGAGCATTTGGTATAGATCGTCACGCGTCTCGTCGCCTACTAAGTGTGGATACCGGAGAAGCTTCTCCAAAACGACGATTATGTTTGCGTAGTGCATGGCTAATGCCGACCCTCCGACTGTGGTTGACGGCGCCTGCATCGAATTTCCGATCCTCGTCGTGCCTCGGTTGATCGAATTTAAGCCCGTCGATTTATCGTCGTCGTCGTCAATTTTCGAGCTTAAACTTAAACATTCCATCAGCAGCCTCCCCGGCCCTATCCCGCACGCGAATTTGAAATTCTCGGCGCAAAATTCGTTCTTGCTCGATCGAGAACTTCTGTCCGATGCATCCAATTTACCGGCGATCTGCGATCCGCAATTGACGTCGTCGAATGCTACGAGCAATCGAGCGTATATCGTGCAGACGGCTCTGGCTAGCGATTCGACGACCTTATCGAAGGTCTCGTTCCATAGGGAGATGTTCTTCAAATGGCGGACGTCCTGTTTCTGCCATGACAGTTTCTGCTCGAAAACCTTCCGGCTTTCCTCGTGGTGGCTCTGCTGGAATTTCTTTGCGGCGGATTCGAGCTCGTTCATGACCTCCATTTCGGAGTACAGAGCCGCCGTGGAGGCGGCGTACCGCTCCATTTTCCTAACCATGGCGTCCATGTCCTTCACCAGAAATCCTAAATCCTTAACATCAATTGCGCCGGAGATAATGTCGCCATAGACGTGCTCGAAGCCTTGAAGTGCAGGTATGGTGCATTTCTTCCCTAATCTCGACACGACGGCGGCGACTCTGTTCAAATCGTCGAGCTTCTCTGCAAATGCAAGTTCTAGAAGGCGCTGTTCGTCGCCCGAAATTAGGGTTTTGATCCCCTCGGACTTCAGGATCTCGTTTCTCAGCTTGGAAAAAGCGGCGTCGGTCAGTGATTTGTGGAGATGAATGATCTTAGAGAGGAGATTAGCAACTTCGAAGGAGAGGATTCCGATTGTTCTTCGATCGACAGAGCTCTGTTTTCTGGTTGTGGATTTCGTCGAATTCTCGAGGTACAAAGCGTGCTTTAGATTCGAACTAACCTGATTGCCTAATTTCAGTATCCACGGCTCCGCCACCATCTCCGCCACCGCCACCGCCACCGCCGCCGCGAGATCTGGAAGCTCCGTAACCCTAATTAGATCTGGCTAGCTTTTCTCCCATTCAACAGTTCAAGCCAAGCACTCCTCACCACCAGATTTCCTTCAATTCCAAAGCTAAAAAACCTCAACAACAACAACAAATTCAAAAAATCGAACAGTGAATTAACCTTTCGAGGAAGAGAGCGTTGGAGGCGGCGTTCGAACAGCAAACCCTAGAAAACAACAAATTGAGCTCTTGCGAGTGAAATTGGGGGCGCCGATTCGCAACCGTGCGCGGAATTTGTAATCAAACGACGAACAGAGGATTAATTGGTAGGGACGCGACAGAAAAGGAGTGGAATTGATGGGAGCTTTGCAAATGGCACTGTTTGGGGGGAAATTTGTAATGATTTGTTCGAAAAGGGGTTAGAGGAGAGGTTGAAGACGAACTGCCATGAAAGTTAGCAACTTTTTACTTGTTTCTGATTTGCTTATTTAATTTTATTTTTTTTAATATATAAATATATACTTATCTATGTATGAATTTCTTCTGTTTTTTAAGATACCTTTATTTTATTTTACTCATTTCTACATTTTATATCCATTTTTTTATTTAAGTCTTTTCATTTATTTTGTTATTTTTTTTAAAAAAAAAAATTGTATACTTTAATCTTATTTTTAAAAATTTAATTTATAATTTTTAAAATTTTAATTATACTAATCAGTTATAAAATTTTTATTACATAATAATTATTTTCACTAATATATTTTTAATTATTTATTAATTATATTTTTTTTAAATTCTCGTATATACAGTAAAACGGACAAAACATCCGGGACGGATGAGAGGGAGTATTATTTTTAAAAATTGGGCACATGGAAAATTTATTTATGGTCATAAATCACAACTTGAAAATTACAGGTAAAGTCTTAAAGTGCATTTGTACAAAATAAATTAGAGGTGGGTAGAGAAGGAAATATTATTATTATTGAAATTTAAATTTTGGGTTGATAATTTAAATTATTTTAAAAGGGCATTTATTCTTTAGTCGCCTTTATCAAAATTACTGGTTCAAAATTCATTTCATGCAACTCTTTACAAATAAGACAAAAATAAAGTCATCTGCGAAAGGTTTTTTATTTTTTATTTTCACATTTTTTAAATTTCTAGCATTATTATGAATTTTTACCTAGAGTCAAATTATATATATATATATATATATAAATTATTCAAGAACATATTGGCGAGTACTTTTTTGCAGTTCAATTGAAGTTGGTTGATGTGTTAAAGAATTTTTATGCATCATAAATTCAACATTTAATAATTTAGGTTTGGTTTGATATTATATTTTATGTGAATAAATAAATAAATATACTCCCTCCGTCCCGTTGCAAGGTTGTCATTTATTTTTTGCACATAGATTTTTTAATATTAGTATTATAATGAGTTGTAGTGAAAAAAGCGAAAATACCCCTGTTAGTATTGTGTAATATAAAAGTAATGACATTTGTGTAATATAGTGTAAGTTGGAAGAGTATTTATTATGTTAGGTAGGTAGTACAATTACTAAATTAGAAAATGGTAACCTTGTTTTGGGACGGACGAAAATGGAAAATGACAATCTTTCAATGGGACGGAGGGAGTAACAATTTATCTACCTAACATTACAAATATTCTTCCAATTTACAATATATTACACAAATGTCATTCATTTTATATCATGCTATACTAATAGGGTTAACTTAGTCTTTTTACGTTTATTTCTACTTTATTCCAAGTACAAAAAAACAAATTGATATATAGATACATGACTGAAAGAGTATTATAAATTTTCTTAAAAATTAATTTATTGGTAATTCTTAATTATATATATTAAAATAATATAATTATTAAATGTAACATTTTTAATAAAAACAGATTAAGTGGTAAAAAAAATTGTGATGAAAATTACAGGTAAACACACCTAAAATTGCAATTTGTCAAAAAGGTAACACTTAGTTGGAGTTGGTAAATATATGTGGTTATTAAGACAACAAATATACGACAATGATAATGTAACACATTAAATTATTAAGGATTTGGTTTAACTAATTTTGAAATTCTTAATTTTGACCACATTGAATTATTAAGGATTTGGTTTAACTAATTTTGACATACTTAATTTTGACCAAAGTCAACATAAATTGTGTCTCAACTGTTCAACCAGTTTTGTGCAGATGTTGCTTTTATAATCAATAAGGCATTTTAAATTAAGAATTTAGAATATTAATATTCATTAGGAAATTTGTAAATAATTTTACGTTGGAGAAATAATTAATTAAAGAAATAAATAAATTTTTTTTTAGCCTTAAGAAAGTCCATAATAGATTAAAAAATTATTTACTATTAAAATATTGTGGATTAGATGTTTATATTAATTTCAAAAATATATTAGTATTAATTTAATATTGTATATTTATTAAAGAAAGAATTACACCATTTCTTTCACTCTAGCATAGGTTTTTCGATTTTTTTAGTAGGTTAAAAAGTATTTACTCCGTCCGTCCCGGATATTTTGTCCGCTTTACTGTAGACACGGAAATTTATGAGGGGTATAATTAGTAAATAACTAAAAATGTATTAGTAAAAATAATTATCGTATAATAAAAATAATTATAGATTAAGATTAAAATACCTTATTAGTATAATTAAAATAAAAAAAAAATTATAAATTATATTTTTTAAAATAAGATTAAAGTGTATAATTCTTTTCCAAAAAAAGAAAGTGACAAAATAAATGGGACGGACGGAAATGGAGAGGTGGACATGAGATGTAGGACGAAGGAAGTATTATTTTATGTATAAATTAATTATAAGTGTAGTAATATATTTGTAATTTATGTAAAAGTTAAATAATATTTTAATATTAATGTTTGATTATTTTTTATCATATAAACAAATATATTTTTTTAAATAAGATAAGAAAAAACTGATAAAAATAATATTTTCAGTTGGGATAGAATATATATATATATATAATAAATAAATTTTGGATAACATAGAATTATTTTATAAAAATTTAAGAAAAAAAAAACTGATAAATAATGTCACGTCTAAAACTAAAAAAATTAATAATATATATATATATCACTTAATTATACAATAATTTGGATTGAAGATTCTGAGCACGTAGAAGAAGACATATAGTTCCATCTCTTGATTACATTCCAAGAAAGGAACTTCTTTTTCTTTTTCTTAAAAAAAATAAAAAATAAAGTTGTCTATTGATAATGAAATAAAGCAGATAAAAAATTTATTTCTGAACGTTACAAAAGTTCATAGCAAATTTGGGCCATTATTTTGTACATTATTGCGGCATAAAAAAAAAAAAAAAAAAAAAAAAAAAAAAAAAAAAACTATGGGAATAATTAATATCAATTTATTTGTTATATCCCAATATATTAACCAAAATATGAAGGCGAAATTAAATAGAATTTGTAATTGTGCAAAAAATAAAAAATAATAAAAAAAATAGAAATATATTTGACAAAAATAAAAATAAACTACTTGTTATTATTATTATTTTTTTTATACTATAATATAAATAAATAAATAAATATTTATGATTAATCTAAATTAATACTTAAATCACACTATTATTAATTTATAAATTTAATTTAATACACACTTGTATCATACATTTATTATCTATCAAATTAATATACATCAAAATCTCAAAACTCAAACCAAATCTACAAATTTAAAAAAACATAAAAATTCAAATCCATTTTAAATTCATATTCAATACAAAGGTAAATTCAATTCCCCAAACTTTTTCAGAAACACATCCTAAATACCCAATGAATCGGTTATTAAAACATAAATTTATTTTTATATTGATTTATATTCTAATAAAATATTATTTCCATCCGACTCCAAGGATCTCATTTATTTTTTGTGTGTTGATCTTTGAATATTAATTATTATATCAAAACGTAGTACAAATTAAGAAAAAATTGCAAAAATACGTGTCTTATAATACTAATAGAAGGACATTTGTACAAAAATATATATAAATATAAGGATATTTTTAATGTCAAATACCAAAAGATAAATGTGACCTTAGAGGCGGACGGAGTGAATATAAAATATAGAGTTGGGTTTGGATTTTCAAATTTGCAATTCAATATCCAAATAAAAGAAATTATTTTGAATCCAACCACCTAATTTTGGGATCAGATTTGAGAGTTTAGGTTTGGAGTTTGAAAAAAAAAAAAAAAACTATATATAAAGTAATTGTTTGATGTAATATAAATATATATTTGATGTGATATTTTAAAAAGTAAGCTTAATTTGAATGTAATATAAATAAATAATAAATATTTCATTTGATATTTTTGGAGTAAATTGTAAAATTCGATATATTTTGAATCCATAGAGACAAAATTTGTCAATATACCGTGCTCAACTCTCTTGAGCTTATACATCACCAGACTCATTAACTTTCGTTATTATTTGTCTTTGTGTCAAAATTTGAACAGTTCATTGAGACCGAGTTAACTCAAAATTAGCATTATATTATTCGTTTTGGGTCGAATTTGTACAGATTTATTATCTCATACTAGTAGAATTGAATGTGAGACTTAAAAAGTGTTGTTCTTTCTTGCACTGCCTTTCACTAACAGACCCGCCAACTGTCAGGATCGATCGTGCAATCGACCACCACAATGTCAGGAAACTTTGATACAATATACCACGGAAAATTTTGATTACGAGATCAACGAGGATTTTCTACAACTAATGCCTAATGTAATCCAGTCGACTCCACCGGATAATTCTTTCGAACCAAGCTCTTTATGATACCATTTGTTGGAACAATGTCAACTCAACGCTAATATACTCAACGTTAGTACGATATTAGCTAATTTGGGTCAAAATCGGATGAATTTATTTTTTATACGAAGTATGAAGAATTGTTCCGGTAATATAAAAAATTATATTATGTATTAAAATTTGATATATATATATATATATATTTTAAGTTGATAAAATGTAGTATATATATTACTCCACCCATCCAATGGTTTTTGTCTTAAATCATATCTACGCGATTTTTAAAATAATTAATTTTTTTCTATAAATTTGTCTTTTGTGGTAAGGTAGAGATATTGCATGCTCAAATAAATGGTAAAAAAATAATGGATAAAAAAATAAAATTTGTGTATAAAAAAGTTTCAAATAGATAAATATTAGTATATTAGTTTGTGGACGGAGGAAATATATTATGTTAATATATAGTATATATTGTAAATAATATTTATGAGGAATTGTGTCAACTAAAAACACAACGTGAACAATATTTTAATTCTAAATTACTTTTCAACTGCTATAATTTATAATAAAAATACTTCATTTGTACCCTTCGATTTTGTAATAGATTAAGAAATAATAATATTTTATTAATTAGTAGAAATGTGAAAGAAATTTTAATATTTTT